CCCTCCAGCCAGACCCTGTCACAAGCCTTCAAATTTGTTTTTGCCCCAGAACAGATTTATAGGCAGGGCTGCAGAGAATTGTTAAGTATTTAAGTTCTCTGATGTTACTTCATGTCTTGTTTTACATTGCGCAGTGTTTTTGTCCTCTTATTCATTTGGATTCAGCTTTAATCACTATGTGTTTGGTACCTAATTCCTGTTCTTGAAGTTTTTCAGTTGCAAACAGTTAATTGAACACAACAGAACCCTTTTCTAGCCATAGGTGTAAAAGGTATGCAAGATGTATTTCTTTTTCCTCTGATTTTATACACGACTTTTCAGTTTTAGTTCAAATATTCATCTAGAGCTTATTGTGGCATATGGTGTAAGAAATTTGTCTGAACCCTAATTTCTCTGGAGCAGTTAGGTGCCACAGTGGATAAAAGTGCCGGGACTCATCTTCCTGAGTTCAAATCTGGCCTTAGACACTTACTAGCTGTGTGACCCTGGGCAAGTCACTTACCCCTGTTTGCCTCAGTTTCCTCATTGGTAAAGTGAACTGGAGAAGGAAATGGCAAAGCACTCCAGTATTTCTGCCAAAGAACTCCCAAAAAGGAGTCATAAAGAATTGGACACCACTGAAATGACTAAATAGCAACAATGAAAAATTTCTCTTTGGCAGTTTCTCAGTTCTCCTAAGCTTTTGTCATATATGTAATCCTTACCTGAGTAGTTGGTTTCCTTGGGTTTACTGAACAATTGTACGTTGAATTGCTTTTGAGATTTGTTTACCTAATCTGTTTCACTGGTAAACTTTTCTATTTTTTATCCAGTTTTGATAATTAATGATTCACGATCCTACAGGATAGTTTGTGATCTTGTAATGCTAAGCCTCCTTCATTTCTACTTTTCCCCATTATTCTGTTTGAGATTCTTGATCTATTTTTTCAGGTGAGTTTTGTTACTGTCTTCATAAATTAACTCCTTGGTTGTTTGATTGACATGGTGCTAAATCAACAAGCTAATTTTTTGGTGGGTGGAGGCAAACAAGGTTAAGTGACTTGCTCAGGGTCACATAGCTAGTTAAGTGTCTGAAGCCATATTTGAACTCAGGTCCTCCTGACTCCAGGGCTGGTGCTCTATCTACTGCTCTACCTTTTTTATACTAGCTGCCCCTCCCCCTTTCCAATAAACTAATTTTTTTTTGAAAGTCTTTTTAGAATGATTCTGGAGTTTCTTGCTGTTGTGCCATGATCCTGGAGGATTTTCTTTTTCATAGGGTAATTTTAGTTCATTTTCCTGTATTTTATACTTTGTGTTATAATCTTCAAGGTTTAATACATTCTTTGTTGTATTTTCAATATTCTTTCTGTTGATTTATCTGCTTATGAACTAAGTTCTTATTCTGGCTTTCCCTCTTGAACTTTTGGTCTTTCCTCCTTTATATATCCAGTATTTTCCTCTAGTTTCCCTCGTCTTCTTCCTTTTCTATAGTTGCACAGATCTCCAAAGTTAGACATATTAGCTATCCCAGGATAGGAAGGTTTTTTGTTTTTCTTTGGGTGTAAGGGTGTGGGGTCGGCTGGTTAAATTCATTAATGTGAACTCAGAACGAGTCAGTAACATAGGGTAAGTTGGTAGGGATCCCTATAGCCAGACCCTGTCACAAGCGTTTCAATTTGCTTGTACTCACTGGGACATGTATGTGGAATGGCTAATGGGGTGAGGCTACTGAGAGTTCTATATAGTTGATGTCTGATATTATTTCATAATTTTTACCCTGTGCAGTGCTTTTGTCCTCATCCATTGGATTTAGCATTAGTTACTGTGTTTTTGGTGCATAATTCTTTTCCCAAAGTTTTTCAGTTACAAAAGTTAACAGAACACAACTATTTCACCATCTTTGGTGACATAAGTCACCATTTGTTTTACGTTAGTTATTTCCCAGTATACATTCCCCCACCCCCTGCAACTGAATCCTTTGTAAAACAGTTAAGCAACAGTGACAAGGCACTTGGAAATGAAAGTGATGTATAAACCAAACATATCAATAAAATTATTCTTAAAGGGGCCTTTTCTTTAAAAATAGAGAGGGAACATATGAAAGGTGGCCCATAACAACAGGTAAAAAGAGGTAAGATGACCACAATCTGACAGCACATTCAACATTCCTCCCATTATTAATGAGAAGCAATGGATGGAAAATGGCCTCAGAGACAGGAAGTGCTAGGTTTTAATTTCTGCTTCTATCATTTACTTGATGCTTCCCTGGCAATTTAATTAGTCCCTCATGTGTTCTAAGCAACTAAGACTGTAAGTTGAAGGGAAAATTATCTGCATTGTTACAAGGTGTTTGTCACCAAGAACTCTCTACACTGATGAAACCACAAGTCTCACATATGTGTATGTGGATATATGTGTGTGTATATATACATAATTATCTGTGAGGTTTCTGCCATCTTATAGGTACATCTTTGACTAATCTATAATGTAATGTTCTGTGGGGCTTCTGCCATCTTATATATCTTTGAATAGCCTATAATTGTCACAAAATTTTTGTTTGTTTGTTTTGGGCTGAAATCAACTATTTTGCCATCTTTTTGATGACATGACTTCTGGAGATAGTCTTTTCAGAAATCAATTCAGCTGTGGTTTTAGCTTATCCTCTTTAAAATTCCAGCTGCGACCTCTATGTATAAAAACTTGAAATACGTGAGAGAATGGGACATGTGAAGAGAACTTTAACAGACAAAAGGCAAGAAAACTTCTATCAAGGGATGAATCAGTTATAGCCGTTATATAGTGGAAAGATCAGAAGCTTAATTCCCAGTTTAACTATGTGTGAACTTAGGTAATTCATCCAGCTTCTGGGAAGTTTGCCTATGAAATTGTAATAAAAATATATGTATTACCTTCCTCATACAGTTGTTGTGAAGATCAAATGTAATAATAGATGTAAAACCTTATATATTTAGATATGTATATATGAGATTTAAAGAACATAGTGTGCTGTAAGAACATGGAATTAGAGAACCTTGTTATATATAATGATTATGAGCAAGTCACATGACTTTTCAGGCCTATCATCTATTAGACATGAACTGACCAGTTCATGGGACCACTAGACACGGGAAACCTGTTACAACTGCTACAAATTCCAGCCAATTAGCAACCGTGAGGTGCCATACAGAAATAAAGACATACTGTACTCCCAACTCCTATGCAATTGAATGCCATGAAATTATAGCTATAATTCCAGGAAGTCTAGATCTCGAGATCAAAGGGCTACCCAATTTTACCTCACCAACGGAACTCTCCCTGATAACATATGCAGTTCAGAAAAACCAGAGACCACATCCTACAATACATGCGTCATTCTACACGACAGTACACCACCTCTTAACTGAAATAAGGTATGTCTCATCCTCAGTCCTCTGAAGTGGATTGGTCATTTTCCTTTCTAGTACTATTGGGACTGTGTATACTGTTCATTCTTTGTGCTTAGCCCTGCACTGGGTCATCCAAGTATTCCCACATTTCTTGATGTCTCATATTCATCATCAATACTCTACTACATTAACACAGTACAATTTGTTCAGCCATTCTCCAACTGTTGCTAGTTTCTTGGTACCACAAATATACCTATTAAAGTGCACTGGATTGGTCACCCCCAATATGCCAAGATCTTTTCAGATCTTGGTCATCATTCCTTCTTAAGCGAAGGACCTGACTTCTTCCACTCCCCTTACTTCCCCAAACAGAACATTATACCTTTTAGCTATTTTTTTAATTGCTGGAAAGAGTAACAAGTAGAATCCAAAACTGAACTTTGACCAAGTTTAGCCCTGAAGAAGAAAATGAACCACTCTTCCGTCTCTGCAGAGGTGGGAGACTGGGTTTGGAACACTGCATATGCTGTCAAACTTGATGTTTCGGTTAGTATTCCTGAAATGCTTTGTTTCCATTTGTCTTATTCTTTATGATTTTTTTTTTTAGGCTATTGGGGTTAAGTGACTTGCCCAGGGTCACACAGCTAGTATGTGTCAAATGTTTGGTCTGAGGCTGGATTTGAATTCAGGTACTCCTGACTTCAGGGCCGGTGCTCTATCCACTGCGCCACCTAGCTGCCCCTGTCTTATTCTTTATTATTAAAAAAAATGACCCAATTCGTGGGGGAGGGATTTGAAACTAAAAATATACAAACCAAATATATCAATAAAAGTATTTTTAAAGGGGGATTTGTTACTTTAAAAACAGAGAAGTAACATATAAAAGGCAGGGCCCAGGTAAAAAGAAGTAAAATTTTATATGTTACAAGCTGTGAATAGTTTAATTTTAAACTTATGCCTCAACCATGGGGTCTTCTTAGCTAGACTGCTTTCCTGCATACTTACTAATGGGTATTAGGCTGGTGATATCTCAGTTCTTGTTCTTTTGCAATGGATTTGGAGAAGTTGAGCTTTCCTGAATTTATTCACTTCAATCTTCTGTTACAGGAATGAAAAATTAGTGTCTGAGCTCAGTATTGCTCTTAAGAGAGTCTCCAATTTGGCCCTTCATAGAATATTTCACACTAGATTATGAACCTAGCAACATCTTGCTCTTCTGTTTACCAAGTAATGCTCTTCTCCTGTTTGTACCTCAGGCTATAGCATCTCATTAAATTTGGGGGCTTCTCCTTCCTCACTCTTTATCTAAAGATAAACACACTATTGACTTCATGAACATTCATTCTGTCTCTCAGTCTAATTCTACCCATTGGATTGGTTCCCACCAAACATTATGGGTCTGGGTTTTCATGTCCCTCATGGGATAGAGTTGGCTTCCAGACTTTACTACTTTTCCTGACCCTGCAGCCTTTTGTAGTTCAGTCTTAGCTTCACATTTCCTGGCAGAACTGAGCTGACAGAAACACATAGAATCAACTGGCATTGGAAACTCTGTCTTACAAAAAATAAATACATGAGTATTGCAACTGCATCAATATGTTATAAATTTTCACCTTTCCAGTAATCAGGCAAAACCAAAAACAATGTTTTATAATTCTTACAGACACAAATATAAATATAAATACAAATATGTAGGACATTCATCAAGTTTTTCAACATGTACTCTGCAAGTTCAGAATCAAACTCACAACTCTGGTCTGAGTTTGATCACCATTAAAGCCATATGAGGTTTTTCTGTCATATGAATCCACAACACAGTGATGGATCATAAAATGAACATTTCAGTGCCAGCAATAGTTTATGCATGCATTTTCAAGGTAAGTCTGCTCTGCAAAACATCAGGGTATGAGGTCAAACTGCTTAGATGACAGTTCAAAAAGAATAAAGACATTCTGTTATCAAACATAAGAAAAAATACTAACAAACTGATATCAATTCCTATGATTAATATTACAAGAAAATTTGTAATAAGACAAAAGCAGCAAAACATGAAAGGTAACAGGAAGCACTTTCTAATTTCATGATCATGACAAAGGTTTTCCTTTATTTTCTGATTTCCTATAGTACAAAATAAGATAATAATTATGAAGAAAAAATTAACGGAGGCTAAAAATATCCTTGTAAAATAGGTAATTTTTAAAGAATCAAAATTAAAATGCTTATTATTCCTAGAAAATTGGTATTAGGTGGATTAATGCTTAAACAAATTTATCATATGAGCTACTTCGGGATGAACTGATTTAACCTCACTTTGTGGATGATGCTAGCTTTTATTGGAGAAGAGAAACAGAGCAGAAGGGAAAAGAAACATATTTCTCAATTTAAATACCCCAAGTAAAATAATAACTGGTAACTTATGTGATATTGTGACTATAGAGTATTTGAATAAGGGATAAGTCTAAAAGTTTTACATTATTCACTAAATACTCAGGATTACTCTCCACTATGAAGTCTCTGATGTCTGACTAGGGCTGAACTATGCCTAAAGGCATTCCCACATTGATTACATTTATAGGGTTTCTCTCCAGTATGGATTCTCTGATGTCGAGTAAGGTGCACATGCAGGCTGAAGGCTTTCCCACATGCATTACATTCATAGGGTTTCTCTCCAGTATGAGTTCTATGATGTTGAATAAGGTCTGAACTTCTAATAAAGGCTTTCCCACATTCAGTACATTCATAGGGTTTCTCTCCAGTATGAATTCTTTGATGCTTAGTAAAGGATGACCTATCACAAAATGCTTTTCCACATTCACTACATTCATAAGGTTTTTCTCCAGTATGAATTCTCTGATGTTGAGTTAAGTGTGTACTCTGAATGAAGGTTTTTCCACATTCGATACATTTATAGGGTTTTTCTCCAGTATGAATTCTCTCATGTTGAGTACGGTCTGTACTCTGACTGAAGGTTTTCCCACATTCATTACATTTATATGGTTTCTCTCCAGTATGAATTCTCTGGTGCTGAGTAAGGTGTCCACGCAATCTAAAAGTTTTTCCACATTCATTACACTCATAGGGTTTCTCTCCAGTGTGAATTCTCTTGTGGCGAGTAAGACATATGCTCTGACTAAATGCTTTCCCACATTCATTACACATATAGGGTTTTTCTCCAGTATGGACTCTCTGATGTTGCATAAGGAGTGCAGCCTTACTGAAAGCTTTTTCACAGTCATTACATTTATAGGGTTTCTCTCCAGTATGGACTCTCTGATGTTGAATAAGGAGTGCACCCTTACTGAAAGCTTTCTCACATTCATTACATTTATAAGGTTTCTCTCCAGTATGTACTACTTGATGTTGCCGAAGGAGCGCACTTTTACTGAAAGATTTACCACATTCATTACACTCAAAGGGTTTCTTTACTGCACAGATTTTCTGATGTCTAATTAAATATGAATTACATATGAAAGTTTTTTCATATATGTCACATTCAGGATATCTCTCTTTTCTAGGAACATCCTCTTTTGTAACAAGGATAGAACTCAGACTACACAGATTGTACTCAGGGTCCCTCTTCACAGGCAGCATTTTCTTCTGGGGAACTGTCACTTGTCTCAGATGTCTCTCCTGGATTCTTTGCTGTCTCCTATATTGGGCATAAGATTCCCAGGCTTGTCCTAGATTAGAGTAACAGAAAAAATCCCTTGTGAATCTCTCCATTGTCACCTCCTGGGATGATTGCTTTTCAGAAATAGCTTGCTTTAGAGTTGATGTATTGATTTCAGGCACTGACTCCCAGTCTGAAAGAATGAAAATAAACGTAATTGTGCCTGTGCCTATAGAAATGTGTGCTACAAGAATGGAAACTACAAAGTAAGAATAGGAGAGTAAAAATGATGAGTGCATAGGTGGTTTTTTGACAATTTCAAATATGCAAATGTGGTCTTGTACTCTAGAGAGTGGAAGGGGAGGCAAGGCACAGAGAACAGAGGACACATGTGGTTGGAAAGGGCTGATTCAGTGTGAACAGTGAGTACAGAAATGGACACAAACCCACCAAGGAAGATTAAGAGGTAAGAAAAACTAGAATAGGCTAAATAGGAGGTATTTGTGTAGGGTCAAATATCAGTAGTAGGAGAGGCAGTCCAGGCTATTGTAATGGAGTCCTAACTGATTTCTTAGGTCCCCTTGTATTATCTCTCCCAGCTTATACCATTGGTCCTAAAACAATCATTCATAAACAACAATGCCATTGTCTATAAATAAGGACTTCTCTATATTCCCAGCTTCCCTTCAATCTCCCTAACCATAATTAAAGCCCATCTTTAGCCACAGTGATCTAGTTTCCAAATCATTACAATTATTTCCTACACAGACCCAGAGGGGTTTAAGGATTGCCTATAATCATTAGGACCTAATAAAGGGGTCTGAAGCCAAACGGCTAGTGCCCCACTAACTCCTTAATCTACATTCTCTATCTGCTGGTTCCTTCCCTACCATCTACACATAATACCCAAGTCTCTACCAACTCTAACAGCTATCATCCTATGACTATCTTATTCCCTTCTTAGCCAAACTCCTAGAACATGCTACGTTCAGTGCCTCCATTTTTTCCCTTACTCTCTTCTGCAGTCTGGCTTACACTTCATCCAACCATAACTGCTTTTTAAAAAGTTATCAATGACTTTCTGATTGCCAAGTCTAACTTTCCTTTCTCAGATAACAACCTTTTAGATTTCTCTGCAGCATCTGACACTTTACTATTTTTTTCCTCCTGGACATTCTCTCCTCTTCTGGTTCTTATGACACTGTTCTCTCTTGATTTTCTTCCTTACCTGTGTGACTACTCCTTCTTAGTCTCCTTTGCTGGTTCTCTGTCCATGTCACACTCACTAACTGTTAGTGTTACTCTGATTCTGTCTTGGACCTTCTCTATTCTATCTACGTTTTCTCACTTGATGACCTCAAGAGTTTCCATGGGTTCAATTAAGATATCCATGCAAGTGCTTCCCAAATCTATCTATCTACCCACAGTTTCTCTCCTTAGCTCTAGTCTATTATAACCAACTACCTGCTCAACATTTCAAATTGGATGTTCTACAGGTATCTCAAATTCAACATGTCCAAAACAGAACTCAATATCTTCTCTCCAACCCCTAACTCACTCTTCTCCCAAATTTTCCTATAATAAATGAAGGTGCCACCATTCTTTCTAGTTACTTGGGTTTAACTCTGGTGTCTTCCTCACCTTCTCACTTTCACTCACCTCACATATCCATCCAGTTCCCAAACCCATTTATATCTCTACAATATCTCTTGAATCCATTCCCTTCTCTGCACACACAGCCACCACTATATTCTAGGCCCTAATCAACTCCTGCCTCGACTATTTGCAATAGTCTACTATTCAGTCTCCCTGCCTCAAGTTTCTTCCCAATTCCTATCTATTTTTAACACAGCTGTTAAAGTGATTTTAATAAAGCATAGGTCTGACTGTGTCATTCCCTACTCAATAAACCCCAGTTCCCTACTGCCTCTGAAACAAATAGAAATTCCTCTGTCTTGGCATTTAAAGCTCTTCACAATATTCACAACCACTTACTATGTTTCCAGAATTCTTACATAATACTTCCTGGCATAGCAAGAACTTAACAAAGGTCTGTTGATTCACTGGCTGACTGATAAGTTTGAAATATTCATATATAATATGTTCAAATATTTGAGGGAACTTATGCCAAGTGGTCTTAGTCTTCTCCATAGGACTGGAGAACTTTAAGGAGAATTATGAAATCAATACTCCAAGATAACAAACTTTCATAACTTTGTTACAATCACTCTGTTCTGTGCCTGGCTCTCTTTCACTTACCTGGGAAGGTATCTATTGGAATTTTTCTCTTTACCAGCCAAGGCTCTTCTCCTTGCTCCAACTGGGAGATCACATCAGGTTTGGAAATTTGATGTCCTGCTCACATAGAAAAACAAAAGATTTAGGTATTTATGCTCGGAAAAAAGAACTATCCCAGAAAAACTCCTTCCTTCTTCAGGACCTCTGAAGGATAAAAATAGTTGTAGCATAAAAGACAGCACAAAGAAAACATCTATTTCATTGTCTACAAAGTATGACCTTTTGACCAAAAGGCGAGGGATCTCTAATCACTGAGCCACAAGACCCTATCCACAAAAATACACCAGAGCCTCCACTCTCATCTTTTAATAACCTGATTCACACACAAAAAGTACACTTACCCAATGAGACCAGGTTCCTGTAGTTCTCCAGCATTACATCCCTGTACAAGTATCTCTGACTAGGATCCAGTTGCCCCCACTCCTCCTGAGTAAAGTCCACAGCTACATCCTTGAATGTTAATGATTCCTGAAAAGCCCCAAAAAAGGCTGGCTTAAGTTAGGATCACTTGATCTCCCTTGGGCCTTGACACAGAAGCTGCAACATCAGAAGGAGCATACAAGAGAATATGTTCTGATAAGGATCAGGAAATCTGATTGTTCCAACTTAAATGATGTAATTTACTCTGTACCACATAGGTAACCTGTTTCTTTCTATAAAAAAGGACATGTAAAAACAGTATGAGACAGTCAGTATCCTTGAAGAGTATATAGTTTTGACTGGGAGAAAAACATACACATAACCCAGCTGGAGCACAATGGTAAAGAGCTTCTAGTAAAGTGCTAAGCTGTGTGGTACTGATAATAAGCAATTCAGAAAAAAAAAATAAATACTCTTGGATTCTGGTAGCGAGGGAAGAGTTTAGAGAAAAATTACAGAACCTTAAGGTTGGAGGAGATCTTGTTGGTCATCTAGTAGAATCAGGTTGTATAGGTGACATAGTGGATGAATACTCTATTCATCCTTCTCCAGTTGACCGTATTTAGTCATCCAATCTTTCCTTTAATTCTAGAGAAGACACTCTCTCATAAGGAAGCTCAATCCACTTTTTTTGCCTCTCTAAAGATTAGAAAGTTTTTCTTTCTATTGAACTGCAACCTGCCTCCTGAGCAATCAACAAGTATTCATTCATTAAGCCTATGTACCAGGTATATTGCTAGGCACTGGAACTACAAATACAATGAGTGAAATAATCCTTACTCAAAAAGCAGTTAGGGGGCGCTGTGGATTCTGGAGCACTGGACCAGCCTCAGAAATTTCTGTGTCACCCTGAGCAAGTCACTTAATTTCTGCCTCAGTTTCCTCAACTGTAAAGTAGGGTAATAACACCACCTACTTCCCAGGAATATTGTGAGGATAAAATGAGATGTATTTGTAAAACACTTTGCAAACTTTTAAGCATTCATAAGTGGTATTATTATTATTAATATTATATGAGGAGACTAGTATGTATGTGTTTATATAAATATAGAACATAAATATAAAGAGAATACAAAGTAGTTAAATAAAGAATGTTTAAGAAGATGAGTTTGGTTTGTTTGTTTTTCCCCTAGGTCTTTCTCTCTGAAACAATAGTCTATCAATATATACCTATTAAGTACCTACTACATGCCAAGCACTGTGCTAAGGGCTGGGGATATACAGAGGCAAAAGACAGTCCCTGCCTTCAAGGACTTCACAGTTTAATGGGGAAGAAGACAAGCAAACAAATATGTACAAACAATCTACACACAGGATAAACAGGAAATAACCGAGAGGCAAGACAGGAGATTTAAGAGAGGTTGGGAAAGGCTTCCTGTAGAAGAATCATTGGATTCTCTAAATGTCATGACCGAAAAAGGAGCCTTACATCTTATTTCAAGAAATCTTAAAAGAAAGTTTCCCAGCTCTCTTAAAACCAAATGGCAAAGTAGAAATACAAAGAATCCACCAAACAACTCCTGAAAGAAATACCAAAATGAAAATTCCCAAGATTGTCATAGCCAATATTGTGCATAAATATATGATGGGATTCTATTGTGCTGAATCTTGTAACATAATGATTAACCACAATTCCAAAAGAATTTCTCCACCAATTTTTAAAATATCTTCTTTTGTATTTATTTTATTTGTTAATTTGATAATTCTCTAGTTTTTAAAATTGCATTCTCAATCTTCTCATTTTCTATTTTATAATGTGTCCTCTTTCAGAAATACAATCTTTTCTCAGAGCCCTGCTGTAGCTGCATCCCTTAAATTTTGGATTTCTAAAAAATTATTTTATTTTACATAGTTTATTATTTGTATGATTTGTTATTTGATCTGCTTAATTGTTTCATCCCCTCCCAGAGAGCCATCCAGTATAACAAATAGTATTTCTAAGGTCAATAAATAAATAAAAGGAAAAAATCAGCACAGCTGCTGAATACAATGAAAAAAATCTAAAAACATGTACAATACTTGTAGACTTCTCACCTCCAGGAATGGATGGGCTGGGAGCATCCTCTCATATTTCTTCTCTGGAGTGATGGTTGGTCT